TTGAATTAGGACTGTATAGTATCGCTTATTACTAAGTCTCAGCTTGTTATATAGCGGAAAAGGTCGGATGGTAGGGAAGCGTATGTTTACTCGGCCGGAAACTGATGGAGGATGGATTTCCATGAAATGAAGAATGCGGCATTGTGCGAATAAGTCATCTGCTCTCTTTTATGCATTCTCGATGAATCCCATTTACTAACAAGCGCCAATATACCGGAACAAGAAAGTGTATCTGTTTTTTTTCCTAAACTTGTCATTTTTGAATCTGACGCTATCTGTTACGGGGGAAACGAAAACTCAGCACATGCCCATCGGTATCACAGGTCGGTAAGCCGATAACTTCTGACAACATTGCAACAAGCTCCACTCCAAGGAAATCCTGCCTCGGTTACAATTTGAGCCAATTAACAAATCCTTTCAGGCTTACTTGACCTGGGAAATGAAAAGCAGAATCAGAATAAATTGTTAAAGGAGTTAAGAATTGTTTTCGTGGCTACCAGTAAATCATATTGAATCTCATATTAAATGAGAGCCTCAAAAACCCGGCCATTTTCAGCATACCCCTTTTTTTGCTATCTTTTTGCGTACCTAGTGATGCCTGGCGAATGATGTGAATCATAGGTAGGGTCCTTAGAAGAAGTGCTCGGTCAAGGACCCGACAAGGCAGACGATTTAAATATTTGGGAGGTACACTCCACTTGCCATGGTGACAAAGAAACGAAGATGGTATCTAATGCCAACGTTCTTATACATAAGACCGTTGCGACACGATAGTCAAATCGGATGGTCCTGGCAATAAGTTTGGAAAAGTCCAAATTTTAAATCATTTTAATGGAGGATGAGAAGTTGTTAGGGGAACCTTCATTTCGAATGAAATTACATGAAGAAGAGATTCGTTTGTCGATCTCACCAGATGAGGACGGATCAAACTCGTTGTACTGCAGCCGTTCAGCTTTTATATTATATTCATGTTGACGCAGTCCATGAGTCTTCCTCCCTCGTTTCGGGTGAAAACGTGCT